GGGGCCGCAGAGCCCGGGGAAGGCCCGCGTCCGGGCACCGGGTCCGCGAGGGTCGCCGAGGCCCGGGCGGAGGAGCGCGGCGCGAGTCCCGCTTGGTGCTGAGAACCATCTTGTTTTCCACACAGATCCGAAGGGGCAGCACGGGACCCCGGGAGCGCCCCCGCCTCCTCCCCGGGGCCGCCGCGGGCTCCGTGAGCCGCTTTTTCCCTCCGGCCGGCAGGCTGGGCGCGCAGGGGCGCGGGCCCCCGCCCGGCGCGCAGCGGCACCATGGGCACGGTGCTGTCCCTGTCCCCCAGCTACCGGAAGGCCACGCTCTTTGAGGATGGCGCGGCCACGGTGGGCCACTACACGGCCGTGCAGAACAGCAAGAACGCCAAGGACAAGAACCTGAAGCGGCACTCCATCATCTCCGTGCTGCCTTGGAAGAGGATCGTGGCGGTGTCGGCCAAGAAGAAGAACTCCAAGAAGGTGCAGCCTAACAGCAGCTACCAGAACAACATCACGCACCTCAACAATGAGAACCTGAAGAAGTCGCTGTCGTGCGCCAACCTGTCCACGTTCGCCCAGCCCCCACCGGCCCAGCCGCCCGCACCCCCTGCCAGCCAGCTCTCGGGCTCCCAGACCGGTGTCTCTTCTTCCGTCAAGAAGGCCCCGCACCCTGCTGTCACCTCCGCAGGGACGCCCAAACGGGTCATCGTCCAGGCGTCCACCAGCGAGCTGCTGCGCTGTCTGGGCGAGTTTCTCTGCCGCCGGTGCTACCGCCTGAAGCACCTGTCCCCCACGGACCCTGTGCTCTGGCTGCGCAGCGTGGACCGCTCCCTGCTTCTGCAGGGCTGGCAGGACCAGGGCTTCATCACGCCGGCCAACGTGGTCTTCCTCTACATGCTCTGCAGGGATGTAATCTCCTCTGAGGTGGGTTCTGATCACGAGCTCCAGGCTGTCCTGCTGACCTGCCTGTACCTCTCCTACTCCTACATGGGCAACGAGATCTCCTACCCGCTCAAGCCCTTCCTGGTGGAGAGTTGCAAGGAGGCCTTTTGGGACCGCTGTCTCTCCGTCATCAACCTCATGAGCTCCAAGATGCTGCAGATCAATGCCGACCCGCACTACTTCACACAGGTGTTCTCCGACCTGAAGAACGAGAGTGGCCAGGAGGACAAGAAGCGGCTCCTCCTAGGGCTCGATCGGTGAACCCTGTAGCCCGCATCATGGCTCAAGGATTCAATCCATTTTTAAAAATTTATTATTAAACAAATCAGATTTTGTGTACAGTATGTGTCCAGCAAAGCCACCAAGGGCCGCTCCCTTCCCACCTTCTCTCCTTGGGGTTTTCTTCAGCCGTGCCAAGAACTCTGGGCACTTTTGAACTCCCGAACCTTGTGCAAAACCCAGAAGATGTATTCAGAGCCACCCAGGCCCCTGACCTCTCGCTTTGGGGCATTCAGAGGACTGACCTGCTTCTGCCACCTGCGCCCTTGCTGGACCAGGGCAGGTGAGGCTGTCTGCCGCTCCCTGTGTGGAAGCTGGAGAGGGGCCTCTGGCCAGTTAGCCCAGGGAGGAATTGGCATTTCTGCTTGGAGGCCCTTTTCTGGCTCCTGTTTTGGGTCGTCCATTCTCCCAGAGGCTCCTGGAGCCAGCCACCCTGACTGAGCCACGTGGGGTTGTGAGGCAAGATGCCCACCGCCCTGGGACGACCTCTTCAATCGAGGAGAAGCCGCCCTGGTGGAAAGATTGCGTCCTGTCGTTTGACCATGCACGACCCTGGTTTGCTCTTTTGTCTTTTTTAGGGAGAAGGGCTTTCCTTTAGTGGAGACATGGAATTCGCCCCCCAGCCCGGCCCTCTTGTCTCCTGCCCTAGCCATGTTGGTGGTGTTGGTTAATGAGCTGGTTTGACTCAGTAAGTTCTTTCATTTTGGGTCCCAGCTAAAGGGGTGGGGTGAAGCTGAGGACAGCTCCTTTCCTGGGTGAATTTTTCATTTGACTAATGCAGCTTACCCTGTGGTGAAGGCCAGGACAGCTGCAGGTGCCTGTTATCAACAGCCTGCCTTCTGGGCAGGTGAGGGTGCCATGCCTGAGACCCAGCCGGTGCCCACCAAAGGGCTAAAGGCCTCTTGCTGGTGCACATGCCATTTGTCCTGCAGAGCTGGGCGGGTGATGTCAGGGATCACGGTGATGTGGTAATGACGTACCCCTGCCCCCACCCCTGTTCATTTAAAGCTGTTTCCAAACAGTTCAGTTTCTTCTGAAGATGAAGCCTTGTCCTGCAAGGCCCAGGGAGACAGCTGGATCTTGGAGACAATTACAAGATGGGAGTAGAACTCCTGATGGCTTTGGAAGCCTGCTGATTCTACAACTGATCATTTGCAGCTGCTGGTTTGGGTTTCCACTTGACCCTAGTGGCTGTAAAAACACATAATGTGTACTTAATCAGTTTTCTTTCTAATTCTCCCAGATTGGTGGCTTGGGACTTGGGAGAGGACCAAGAGAAGGGAGCACGTCTTCCTCCATGGCCCATCAGTCTGGCTTTGGGGAACAAAGACCAATGTGAAGATGCTACAGAGAATTCTCTCTTCTAGTCCCAATCCCCCCGCAAGTGCGGGAATGGGGGGCTGGGTGTGGGGTGGGGCAGAGGGTCGTTTTACATAGGATTAGGTTCCAGGTGGCTGCCGATTTCAGCACAAGCACTACTGAAATTCACATAAAAAAGAGAAAGCTGTGAAAGTGACGTCCTGGTTTATGAGGCCTGGAGCAGAGCCTGCTGGCCTGGGGTGTTCCCAGATATGAGGAAAAGGGCCTGCCTGTGCCAGGGGAGCATTTGCCCCAGCTGTGCCTCGAGGTCCACGCTGAGCCATTGCCGGGACTGCTGGATAATCTGATGCGGAGCTGGAAGGAACCTGCGGCTGCTGGCACAGACTTCCCCGCAGCGCCTCTTCTCTGTGGGAGTTGTCACACAGCCTGTCTGTTCAGATCCTGCTGCCACGTGTGACCTGAGGTAGGAGGCCCGTGGGGGCAGTGGGCCCTGGCGGCGTGGAAGAGGGAGCTTCGGGTGCCGAGTCTCAAGAGGAGGGGCAGTGCGCGTTTGTAGTCACTCATTCGGCTGCCTGAACTTGGCCTGAAACTGTGCGGTTGAGTTGCACCCACAGGATTCCAGTTCTGTGTGTTTCCTTCTCTTTCTCCATATTTATTTTTTTATTTTTTGGAGGAGGTGCAAATTTCAGGAATGGTTGGAGACTAAGGAAATAACTCTAGTTCCATCAATGTGAAGCCTGTTGTGTTCTCCCTCCCCTTGCACTGGTCATCAGTATTGTGTAAAGGAACTCAGACACTTGAGTGTGCAAGCAATGAACCCATTTGACATGCTGCTATGAAGACTACTTTTAGAACAACAATAAAAAAAAGGAAAAAAACTAACCTACAAAAAAAAAACCCTTTATTCTTTAATTGTTGCTTTTACAGTGATATTGTGCATGCAAACCAGGAGCATTTTGTGTCTTAAGAAAAATAATCTTAGAACAGATGGCTGTGAAAATTACACCCGTGCACAGAACAAGTCACAGGAATAATAGTTCCAGATTTGGTTTTTCTCTCTTTCTTGTAAACCTGAAGGGTTGATATATTCTTTCCATGCAGTTATTAGAATTTAGTTTTGTTCCAACAGTTGTTAAACTTGCAATGAAAAGGAAATGTGCCATTTTTTTCACTCGGAATTATTCATAGCTGTATATTTGAAACTGCTAATTACACACGTGCGATGTATGTTGGTTTTTTAGTGCAATTTCCTCTGTAGCTATTCTTTGACCAAACTGTGGGTATTGTTAATATTAATTTATATTTGTCTCATTTTGTATGTATGTAGTGTGTTTGTAAGTATGTGTGGTTTATAATCTGACAAGGTCATGAAGCTCAGTTTGGCTGTAATTTAATTCCCCTTATTTTTATTTATTTTTGTACTGTGCTGATTAAATAAAATGCACTGACCATCCATTACATAGACCTCTTTTGTGGACACGTCATTCGTGAGCAGGCTGGGGGCGCCTTTTATAAATGATTCCTGCGCTCAGAACATAATTAGATTTGTGTTATGGGGGAGGCAGAAGAGCAGGGAGGAGAGCAGGGTGAGGGGAGAGGGCTTAACGAGTGCGTGCGTTAACGATAAGGTGATTACGATACAAGCGCAGGTTAAGTCCATTCTGGTTTAGCTGCTGGGTGGGGGCAGGAGTTGCTCCCCAAAGGCTCCTTTGGCTTGGTGGAGCTAGGTGACTGAGACTGCCTGCCAGGCAGGCCCAGGCCCAGGCATGGCCTGGTGAGGGCTGGCCGAGTGGGTCCTGCAGGGGCGCCAGGCCTCAGACCCTGTTTGTGGAGCTCGGCTCTAAGGCTGCTGCCCCCAGGCGTCCTGGGCCTGGCTCTGCTCAGCGCTCACTGCCCAGAGGCTCCAGGCCAGCAGGAATGGACTGGTGTCCACGTGGCTCAACCCTGCCAGCTTGGCTCTGTGCAGGTTTCCGAGAGAGAGAAAGCCAGCCCTCAGGCTCCCGGACAAGCAGCCACCCCAGCCCGTAATTGTGGCCAGGGTGGGGCCCCCTAACGGCTGTATTGCCAGTGGTCTGTGCCCACTCATGCCACCAGCCTAAGCCTCAGGGACCAGGGCAGTGTGGACTCCATCCTCCCCAGGCCTTGCACCCCCTGTTCTGGAGCTGCCCCTGGACACTAGGAAGGCATCTCTGCTCAGGCCGCACCTTGGGAGCCGTCCGCCTTGTGATCCCGGCCACTGGCTTTCCTCAGGGCATCTCCCTTGGTCTGAATCACGGAAGCTACACTGCACGTTCTTTCCCACCAATGACCAGTGAGCGAGCAGCATCCTGGGTGCTGAGGAGGCCTTGTCGCCCCACAAGGCCTTGCCTGCCTGCAGCACCCCACCCACGCCCTGCCCCACCATGAGGTCCTGATTGCTCGCTCACTCGTTCTCCTGCCACTCCCACTGTCCCCAACCAGCCAGCACGGGGAGAGGCTGACTGGTCCCCTTTCTTCTCAGACCCTCCCTAAGCTGCAGCCGTAGGAATCCGAGCCTTTTACATCAATGTGCTTGGGTTTCAGTAAACATGAAGGCACTGGGCTTCGAGTGCAGCACACAGGCCTCAACATGGTGGAAGGAAGAGTCTGGATTTCACTCCACTGCCGCCGCCTCCCACAGCTCTCTTCCCGCTCGCTATTGAATACTTCAGTTCAAGAGCCTCAGGTAAATTATCTTCCATTTCTCCTTATTTGTGACTAACGCTCTCTTCCATCCTCTGGGGTTAACAGTTGACTTTACACAAGCTAAAATTTCACAATTATAGGTACAGTTTTCAATTACAGGTAAGCAGAACACCTTTAAAAATAAGATTTAATGCTTTATTGCTCTTGATGGTAAATCAAAATATGCTTTAGAAATAAAGTTAATTTAATGGAAAATAGGAATATACGCACCAAACTATAAAACTGCATTTAATTAAATCAAGAGAAACACTTCATTGCATACGTTCACTGTGTCTTCCTCCTTTCCCCTTGGCACCCTGGAAGCATTACCATGATCACACCCTAAATTCCTGATCCTTCTTCAGTTGCCACACTGTGACTTCTTTTGGGACATCATGAAAAAGTGCTGTGGACAGCCAGCATCCTCTGGCCCTCAGCCGGGAGGCCTGGCCCTGGGCTAAGGGGCCACAGGCAACATGGAAAGGCGAGAGGAAGGACTCCAGACCCCCTCTTCCTCCTCTTGAGCCTAGAAAGGCACTCATTTGGCATGTTCCATTTTGGTGTGTCTAAAACATACGTCTGCATGTATCTAGTGTAAAGCAACAAGTTTGGGGAAGTAAGTGGAAGAGAGGCGATGTTCCAGTTAAGATGGTTCAACTAGTGTCAAGGTGATGGGCGAAACCATGAGTTGCTAAACTGGGCTGGTGGCGCCTCTGTGCTGTGCAGGCAGCTGACCAGGCTTTGAGAATGAGAATGGGTTTCCAAGGACAGGATGCCAATAGGATTCTTTGTTGCAAATTGCACACAGTGCAAATGTTTGCAAGCCCTGGGAAGCGGGGGTGGGGGGTGCGCATGAGACCAGGCTGCTGGGACCCTCTGAGGAAAAGCTGGGTGACCACGTCGGGCACTGGGCAAGGCACAGGAGGCTGCACTAAGGCACTTGGTGTATTTTTCGGGGTCAGGGTGGCAGGACAGGAGCATAGAGGGAGGAGGTGGCAGGGCGGAGGGGCAGTGTCAGAAAGTGAAGGAGGCGTGGGCTCACCCTCAGCCCCCTCACCACAGGGGGTACCCAGAGTTGCTCCTTCCTTTAGGGCTCCTGGCTGGGAGGCCTGGGCTGCCCAGAGGTTCGCAGCATCCTCCTCAGCTGAGGCTCAGGGAGGGTGGTCTCAGGAAGGCATCTGAAGCACATGTGCTTTCTGCTGGGCAGAATGGGCAAGACGGTGGCATTCTCCTGGCATGAGGTCCGGGTGTCCAGCAGCCTGGGCCCCAGCTGTGGCAGGGGTCCGTGCAGGGTGGGGTCTGTGCAGGGCAGGGGTGGGCATCCTGGCCTGGCCCGCAGTGCCAGGACCCCACGCTTGGTTTTCGATCTCTCCCCTTCCCAGAAATGCTGCGTGCTCTGACATTCCCGCCCCAGTCCTGGTTCTCCAAATGAGTATGAAACAGAAGGGGAAAATTCCACACCCCTGAGTGCTCCCCTGGCCCCTGTGACTCCATTTCCTTATTAGTGTTCCTGACATGAGTGTGGGCACAGCAGACATGATATATGATTAGCAACCCTGCAAACTGCAAAAGTAAGTGCAAGACAACCACGGGCGCAGGCTGTGGGTGCAGCAAGATAAGCCCGGGAGCGTCTCCGCACTGCTCTCTCCCGGGGAGGGGCAGGAGGCCCAGGGGCAGGCTCTGGGCAGGCTGGACTGCCAGCTGGGCGTGGCCGCTCTGCTGGCCACTGGTTCCTGGGCTGAGGGGCTGGCCCTACAGGTGAACCTGCATACTTGGTGGCTTTGGCTGGCTGCTGGGGCCAAGGAGCTCTGAGAAGCTCCCTGAGCTAGGTCACAGGGGCTGCCATCACCTTGGGGGAGGGGGTGGCAGGCTGGGCTCTCGGAGAGAGTAGGGCTACATCCCCAGCTCATCTCCACCAAATCTCCCCAATCCTCCCAGGGGAGCATGTCTTTGGTTGGGGAAACTGCGTCCTGGGCTCCCCCCACCCCACCCCTTGCAGGGTCAGCAGCTGGTCACTGGGTCAAGGCACGCTGACTTGTCCTGGCCAGTCGAGGGAGGCCCTCACTGACTGAAGGCACCATCCAGTTGCTTCTGAGGTGCGATGTGGTCTGACTGTCAGCCCAGGGTCTGGGGCAGCACACCGGGGTCTTTGGTTTGTTGAGTGGCGACCGTGGAAAGTCGAGACAGAGGAAGATGGAGAGCAAAGGCAGAAAGCTAGGAAGAAAACTTCAGGGGAGGGGCCTTAGAGAAGGCAGAAGAGGGCTCCTCCCTAAGCTCGGGCCCTCGTGAGCTGATTTCTAGTGGGCAGTAGCAGGGATTCAGCAATTAGACTGGAACCTACGATGCTGAGCGGTGGGGGCAGCCGCCCCGGGCCCATGGTGCTGCAGGCTCCGCAGCCCCCGCTCCCTGGCGAGGCCTCCCGGGTGAGCGGTCAGTTCCCGGGCACGCTGAGGGTGAAGCCCGAACGGTTCTTGGTGAAGTCGGGCTCTGGCTGGTTGAGCCGCGTTTCCACGGAGACGGTGCACTTCTTCCCATGCAGGCTGCACTGCACGGGGTTGGTGACGTTGACTTGAAGGTGGCGCTTCTCACTGGAACAACCAAAAAGAAAAAGACCAGACAGGCAGTTAGCAGGCAGCCAGAGTGGGGTGAATTTCCCTGGCAACCCCCAGCGCCTGCCATTTGCCAAGCTCCTGTGGGCCTCACAGGTGCCCAGGGGACACGGGCCCAGGAGGCTCAGAGCGGGGCTTGAGAAGCCCCAAGAGAGGGCGAGGACAGGAAAGACGGGTGCTGGGCTGCAGCCTCAAGCCAAAGCCATCAGGGAGCAGAGGGCTGAAGTTCTGGCCCTGAGCCTGCTGCCAGCTCCAGAGAACCCGGCGTGTTGAGCTGGACCAGAGGAGAGAGATGCGGTGGAACCACAGCCACCAAGTGTCTGGCCTGAGGCCGGACCCAGTCACGGGCTTTAGATGTCACTGGGGGGCTTGTCATGAGGGGCACGAGGTTCTGATTCCTGGCTACTCCTCAGTTATCTCGGATTGCAACAGGGAGCCCTGGGAGGCTGTGTCCAGGGACAAATGGAGACCCTTCCCTGAACACTCTCCCTGACGAGAGAAAGGTATGACGAAAGAAAGGTGATGGAGACTCCCTCCACGAGCCCTGGCTCCCCGCTGCCTGTCACGGGGTCCGGCTGTTAGAAGTGGGTCTGCCTCCAGTTTCCGCAGGGCCCTGTGCAGGCTCCTCTCATTCTGGCACCTGGGGCCATGACTTGGCTTTGCCACCGAGCATCAAGGCCGCTCTGCTGATGGACCCCACCGGCCCGGCAGCCGGGGAGGGCGGGAGGGTCGAGGGTGCTTCCACTTCTGTATCCACATGAAGCCCTGTGCAGTCGGAGCTCACAGTCCCCTGCCTGGGAGCCACGTGTCTCCTGCTGGCCCGCAGGGGCTTGGCCAGGGCTCCAGAGCTCCAAGTGGGTGTCAGCGCCCAGGAGCCTGAAGCGGTGGGGGCGGCGAGGCTGTGCACCTGCTGAGTAGGAGCAGACGCCTTGTCCCCCAGCTCCTTATGCTGCACCGAATACACTTAAGATGCTTCTTATTTTAAGAGCTGAGAAACCTGTCGACACAGGCTGGCACCTCTCGTCTGCTTACACATGCCGGCACAGTCCCACGCTGCACCTGGGCCTGGGCATTGGCAGCCTGCTCCGAGCTGGGAGGCGACAGGAGAAAGGAGAAGGGCCCGCTGGCCTGGGCCTCCAGACAGGATGGGCTG